GAGTTTGCATAGCTCTAAGTTTGTAAGATTTCAGTACAAATACAGAACTTGAGATGACACAGAACACAGCAAACCTGCAAGGAATGTTGAGTTTATTCATGCAGCTGGCTCAAGCGACAAGATAACTTCATCCTTAAAGCACTAAAGCCTTGACTATGTAATGAAAGACTAGGAGTGAGGAAGAGAGGTGGCTGGGATGCCCCAGTTGGGCATGCCCACAGGGGTGACCTGGTGTCTCCCTGGGAGCAGAGCATCTCCCTCGCACCCACAGAGTGCACTTTTAGTCACCAGAATTCTACCAGAATTGTTCTCTAAACCTAAATTTATATAGATTCACAAGATTCCTACTGAAATAGGTAGGCGTGTTCCTGCTGTGTCATTTTGAATATGATTTTTCTCCACAAATAGGTTTATGGAGTGAGTTGGAGAACAGCAGTTCCACACCCTGAAATCATGAGCTATTTCCAGTATCCCAAAGTGGCTTCATGATGACTTCTAAAGCCCTGTTAACTCAGAGCAGGAATTCTGCTCTTTCACCCAATAGGCATCTCTACACATTTGCTTGCTGAAAATAAAGTCAGTACCAGCTTGCAGCCTCTCCTGGCATACATGGACCCAGCTTTATCCAGCTAAACCACTTCCTAATCCTGGTTCAGTACGCTGGTGGGGCAGAGGCTGTGGGAAGCAGGATTGTGCCTTTCTTTATTTGCTGGGCATTTGGATGGGGCAGTGTCAGCAGTTAGTCTGTTGGTGCATCTGACAGCTCTAGTTTTGCATTTGAGATTAAGAAAGTTACAGTCTATTTGTATGTTTCTGAAGTAATGTTGCTATTGGAAAGGAATTCTGGAAGATGGATATCAAAAATAACATCAATGAGCTACTAAAGCTAAAATTACAGGAACTTATGAAATTGGTTAAACATAAAAACCATTAAACTGTTTATTGAAGCTTCACAGATATACTGCAGCTAATGAGCATTTCTGCTATTTAAATAAGCCCAAATTGAACACACATTACATGGATACATAATTAGTCATGGCAGTCAAACACACACAGGCTCACTTTTAAAGCTTTATTTGAGGAATCTTTTCCATTTGATTTGTTTTGTTAATTAAAATATTTTTTCTGTATTCACTTATATTTTAATATTGTTTTTGCAAGTGCTGTAATTTGCTGCTGCTTTTCCATTTGTGTGTGTTTGGTCTGTGAATACAGCAGATTTGGACTATATATTCAGAGCTGTCCTTTTGTTTGGTGTTATTTGTGTTAGCGTCACTTGATAGCATCAGAATAATTCAATTGTATGTTGTCTTTCATCCAGAAGGATCTTTTCAAATGATATATAATACCTCACCAGGATATGGAGGAGAAGGCAGTGCAGCCACTTTGAATTTACAAGAGAAAAGCTACGTTAGTTTTAGGTGTGGGAGTGCACAGATTTTAAAGACAGTCTTTACCCTTCCCAAATCATGCACCAAATGCCCCGTTAGGTATCTAGTTTGCTTATTGTACAGTGCCAAACAGCGATTCAGAGAACCAGTATTTGGGGTCACCTCCTTGCAAGCTCAGGTTTGGCTCTTAGACTCTCTCTTAGGGGCAGAGAAGGGGCTTCTCTTTCTGCAAGTGGTCTAGGACGTGGACCCTGCAGCCTTGCAGTGTCGCCGGGTACCAGATCCAAATTAGGACATTAGGAACTCTTACATAAGATGCTTTTAAATCGTGCCCTTATTTTACTTCACCTAAATCTTGGTATCTGCTGGATACTATGTCAACCCTGCTACCAGGGAAATGTTCTTTCCCACCTAGAACAATACTGGTCAGGCAGATAAATGCCCAGGCCCTGGGGGGATGTTTCAGGTGAGGGTTATGTTGGGCATTCTTTGCACTCAAAAAGCTTTTGGTATAATTATGTCTCGACAACTATTTTAGCACAAAACAATCCAAAGCTAGATTTGAGAAACGTCATAGATCCAAGATAACAGAGGCTATACCCTATTTTTTCCCCACAGGATGAAATAAGTAGTCAGAACTTCCAGTCTGGCATCATTTCTCCTGAGAAACTACATCTCTGATAACATGTTGCCTTCTAACACCTTCACCGTGGTTCAGTCGCGTCTCAGAGAAACAAAAATCATGTATTAAATCCCCAATACCAACTCCTGCAGCACCAGGTTTTCCTCTGGGTTTTTCCAAGCATGTCTTTACAAGCCTGCATGTATTTAGCTGAGAGAACCGTCCAGACCACATGCTGAGCTGGTACCACTGCATGCAAGAAGTTATCTTATACATGACAAATAGAAGATGGTCAAAAGCTTTCTTGACGTGCAGACAGGCAGAGACACAGAGAGAAAGTTAATCTCTTGATTTATAAATGGTACTAACATAGTCTTAATAAAACTATCAGCCGTTGGGAGCGCTTCCCTTAAAAAGCAAACACCCACAAACCAGCAACACCAGGCAACCAACCCAACCCAGACCCTCATCTTCCAGACTGGAAGATGTCTCAGTCTGAACGTTGTGTGATCTTTCAGGAATCCAGCTATTTCTCAAGGAAACCATTTGATAAGTTTTTGATGCTGTTACTACGCAAATGTTATTGTTGCCAAGTTAAGCCACCAAGTACACGCGGGGTAGGAGGGACTGTGCAGGCAATAGGTCTTGCAGATAGATTCAATACTTCTGTTACAAAAACCTGCTGCAGTCTTTCAGCTTCAAACTGTCTCCTCTGATTCTGGCTTCTGAACCAGTTGCATTAAAAATACTTTGAATTCAAGTCCTCTGAGTATCTGTTTGTATATGCCAAGGGGTAAAGGTTGGACTCGATGATCTTAAAAGTCTTTTCCAACCTGGTTGATTCTCTGGCAGCGTAGGTGGGACGAGTAGGTGACAATGTCTGTGCCTTGCTTCCTATTCTGTTGTTCTGCCCTTGATTATGCTCAGCCCCCACTTTGAAATTCACTTCTAATACATGATTTGGGGGTGAAGGAAGATACAGAGCCTGGGAAGAAAATGCCATCACGATGCTGTACGAGAAAGCTGCATTGGAAGCTGGTATAGACTGAGGCGCACGCTGGGCAATGCTTTGCCATCGTACTGGAAAAATACTCTTGTCTTAAACGGGCAGGTTTCTCTTTTCCATATATGACAGCACAACTACATCAGTTTAATTGACCTTGGCAATCTGCATCTGCTAGTGGTGTGTCCCTGAGGGGCGTTGCGATTTTAAGCTGCATTTTATTGCAGGATCTTCCCTTCCTGTAGACAAAGCTATATAAAAACCTTTCCTTTCGATATATGCCACCAGCGTTTGCTGCAAATCTTTGTGGAAATGTGATTCTCTTCATGAAGCTCCTTTGAAGTGGTTTTGCCTTTGTAATAAAACCATTCAAAAATGCAGAATAGAAATAATGTTAATATAGAACAAGATTCCCCCCACCCCCCCCAATGAGCATTTGTGTGTATTTAATGCCATTTGTACAACGCCATGGAGTGTAAAAACTTCCTTTCCTATTTGCACATCTACATTATGTTTAAGGACAATAATAGTTCGTGTGCAGAATGCCTGTATATGCCATTTAAAAGTAGGAAAAAAAATAAGGTATCTTAATATATGTTCAAAAAAATCAGAAATTGCAGTGAAAAAGATGCAAAATCTATTGTCTTCATGTGAACATTTCATTTTGGTTGTGCTTTATGGTGTTTTATTCTTAATATCCGTAACAAGTTTCCAAGTGAGCCTTACTTTTGGGGTGTTCTGAGTTGAAATACGAAGTCCGGATGGTTTTGACTTTATTGAAACATGTCTTTTTCAGCATGAAATTTCTTTAAAACCCGACACACTTTGTCAAAGCCAAGGCTTCGACAGCATCACATTTCCTGGTGGGAAAGTGTTCCATCTGAAAATGTTCAGTCAGGTTTAATAATGACCTGTCAGAAAGGAGTATTTCTGTTGTGAGGGTTGAGAAACGTGGGAAGTAAATTCGGGAGATCTAAATGAATTTCTAGAAATTGCATCAGAAACGTTGGGTTTTGGTTGGAAATGTCACCGATTTCCTGCTGTGCAGTAAGTTGTACAAGAGAGTGGATCGCCGGTTGTTCAGGAGAGAAGTATGTTGATGTGGAAGGTGTAGCACAAAGCTCTGGGTGGAGGGAAAGGGAGAAAACGTAGTCTTTCTTTGTTGATGTTGTTCGTTAATAGGATTCTCATAAGTGCTGGGCTGTTTTAACCTGGGAAATGAATAATGCCAGTGAGAATGACTTTGTGAATCCCAGCTTCTGGAATATGCACTGTGTTCTCAGGGAGTGACCAGAAGAACATCAGCACCAATTGGTTCTTGAGCCTGTGTTGAGTCAGCCACTTATTGTGACACTCGTGCACATTTCTTTCCTTCACAAGTCTACCTTTGCAGTCATTCGGGACGTGGTTACTATTCTGATACTCCCAAGCTGCTGTTCCATATCACGTGTGCTGTTTTGCTGTCAAAGTCCTCTTAGTAATTACATACTTCCACTTTTCCTGTCTACTTTCCTTTTTACTGTAAATTAAGGAAGAGAAAGAACTTGGACCTGCTTTTCTCATTGTTATCAGCTTGCATCTGATGGATTTTAGCAACATTTTCTTTCTTCTACTAACGTATTTGTCATTCCCTTTAATTACAGTCAGAGAGGCCATGGCACCTATCAAGTTTAACAGATGGGGTCTTCCTGAAGTAGATCCAGAAACGATGCAAACAAGTGAACCCTGGGTTTTTGCAGGGGGTGACATTGGTGGTCTTGCTAACACCACCGTGGAATCAGTAAACGACGGAAAACAAGCTTCCTGGTACATGCACAGATACATACAGGTGATGTTTTTATTCTTCTCTTTCCCACTTCTCCTTGCTTTTAGACACTCTTTGAAATAATTTCATTGTGGTTTAGGTTAAATATACAAGTCGTGAGAAAGCGATTACCTGGTGGTTCGAACATCACAAATTCATTCAACTGGGATCACATACTTGAGTCTGGGTAGTTGAACCCAGCCTTCTTCCTGAATCTTAACACTGCAACCTAAGCAACATGTTCTTTGTTCTTGGCCCCAGCTCTGAATTCCACCCGAGGGTAGCAAGCGTCCCTGCACAATGCACAGTGCAAGCAGAAGTCAGAATTGGGTAACTGGGGGAAAGAAGTGAGACCATCAGTGTTAAAAAGTAAAATCTCCCAGTAGTGCCTAAAGTAAAAGTTAAATCACTGCCAATGCTGTTACATGAGGAAGACGTTTTTAGCCTACTAACACTTTACGGAGCGCTCAGGTGATTTACACCTGAGCCAAAGTTTGCTCTGATGAGGCTGATAAACTGGACACAAGAGCCCAATAGGAAAACATGCACACATGGAAATAGTGCAAAGGAGAATTTACCTGAGACGTGTGAATTTAAGGGTTACAGACTCAGAAAGACCTGGTAGCTGCATGTTCCCTCTTGGTGCTCCTTGCGTGTCGCTGCCCTCGTTTTCCTAGTTAAAGAAAGAGCACAAATCCTAGGGGAGCTGCATAGGAACCTTCTGAGACAGGAGAGCCAGGCTGTGTGTGCAGAACCAGCTGACAGAGCGTGCTCATAGTGCAAGGAACTTTTTAGAAACACGATACATGATTCATTCTCCCACAAAAAAGAGATTTGAACAACTGAAGTTGGGACTGTAACAGCTCGCTGTCTTTCTCCCCCATCCATCTGCTCAGAGCCTCTCTGATTGCATGTTTGTGCAGTTTCATGCTGTTGGGGTCTGATTTCACTTCCTAAAAATACTTCAACTGAAAGCTTGTTGTTAGTATCTGTGCATATTTTTTTATCACTTGTTCTAAAGCACTGTTTGTGTCCTGCCTCCTCAGACCCTATGAAAATGCTGAGTGCGAAACACCTTTAATCCCTGACCCGCTTGCTTCAATTTCTCAGCACACAGTGAATTTGGGTAACCGTGATAGGGGGAGAGAGGGGTATCTCCTCCTTTCTCTTTAACCTCTAGAAATACACACATCACTTAAAACCCCTCCTTTATCATGTTGCTTCCTCCTCAAAGCTCGCTTCACACACACACACCCCCCCCCCCCCCCCAAAAAAAATGTATTTAATACTTTGGAAAAAATCTGAATAGTCATGGCTTGAGAATTAGAATTTCAAATCAAGCAGGCTTGTGGTATTAGAGCATCTCTGTTACCCTTTGCAGGTTGCAAGGCAGCTTATTCAACCTTACAGTCTCACCAGGAAGCTAATGGGAAAGCCTTACAGCAATCTTCACAGGAAAGTTTCCAAATGTCAAGTGTCACCTTTCCAGCTGTTAGATGAATGGGTTGCCCAGGGGCGTTTATTTGGATGTGCAGCCCTTGTCAAACCTGGTTGCTGTGGTGCAGAGGGCTGTCATTTGGCAATTTCCTTCGCCAGCGGTTTGGACCTGGTAGAAATTGCAGTGACTGGAGGAGAGTTTGGTTTTCAAAGGAGTTGTTTAGAGGAGGATTGTATGAATCTGAGGTTTACAGGGGTGGCTGTGTGCGTGTGTGTGCATGCCTTCCATTCACAGCCCTGTATTCTGGAACCTTCCCGTATGAAATGAGAAAACACCCTTACACCCTACCTTATTTTCTCTCTGCCGTGAGATTCTAAGGCAAGCAACCTGCCTGTGACCTGTCTGCAGTGAGAACATGTTAAATGGTAACTAACCACATGAATACCACCTCTCCATTTCCATTGTAGTTACAGACCTTCCCCAAAACACCAACTATCTCAGCACTGGGACCTATAAATAATGCAGTCAGCCTTCAGCAAAACCCCCCTGTTCCACAGGGTTTCTCACCCAGCCCAAGACCATGTCAAAGCCTGAAACTCAAACCCACCACCCTGCCCGCTTGCGGCGGGCGCTGTTCGAACCGCACGCTGTTCGTATCCCAACCTACTCCAGGCAAAAGGCTAAGCAAACAGATGGGCCTGATACGTGCCCTGAAACTCCAGCTCTGGCACGTGGTCAAATGAAGTATGAGATCCAGACTCAAGGACTCTCCAGCAGAAATGCCTTATGTTCAAAACTGGGAGTTATTTACAGAAGCTTCTTGGCTGCTCTTATGTTGGAAACTTTCCATCATTAGTTGCCTAAATATCTCCTGCCTCTTAACATAGTCCTCCCACTGTATGAAGCACAGGTTCACCTCAGAAATTGTTGCCTGCAGCTGTGTCAGCTTAGTTGCTGTTAACATGACCAATCAAAGCCTAACTAAAGAAAGTTGTAGTGGAATCTATTAGAAAAGAGTCAGTCTTCCCAGAACCATTCTGTGCAAGTCACTAGAGATCCAAACAGAATCAGCCCGATTCATGCCACCATCTCCTATTCACCACAGACTTTTAGGCTTGAACCTTTTTTGTTATTCTATGAATGACATAAATATTTCTGTAAAATAATCTTAGTGATTTATTTAGGTTGGGGTTTTTAATGGCCCTCACTTTTACCCGACAGTGACTTCACAATCCTGTGCAGAAGCAATACAGGCTGCTGTTCTCTTCTATGCCTCAGTCACCATTCATTTCTTTTTGATCAGTGAATGGGATTTAATAATGTAATAGTTCTATTCAGGGTAATTCACAATTAGTGCAGGACTAACTTCTAATTTTCTATGCCTGCCTTGACATCAAAGACAGCTCTTGCATTAAGTTTCTTCCAGTATTTTCTTCCTGGACCACTGCACCAGCCTTAATGCTTCACTCTGGCTCTATTCAAGCATTTAGGTGGGGAGTGTTTTCCCCATATGTGGCAGTGAGGCTCCCATCTTCTTCTCCTCACTAAAACCCCTCTTCAAAAGGGACTTTTCCTTTCTGGTTTTTCAAGTTTTCTTCTATTTAAATCTGTTATCTCCCCAGTGTGGGCAGCTTCCTTTATAGTCTTCCTAGACTGACATGTACATGCTACCCTTAAAGAATAGAGGGCTGGATCCTAACTGATGTAAATTGAACTACACTAAGACACTATTCAGTGTGAGTTTTGAGCACAGCACAGTGTTCTTTTGAACCAGTATTGTATATTTGCTATTTTTTTCTTTATGCTGTCAAGAATATATAGGCTTTTATATCTGAAGAGTGTAGTTGTTGGTTCTTTTCTGAGGGTTGACTATTCTCCTGTATTCCTGGAGCATGCATGAAGATCCGTTATTTCATAGTCGATCTCAGTGATGGGTGGTTCACAGGAAGCTTGGCTTTGAAGCTGTTAGTTGTGTTGTCTTCTGCTTTTCAGGATAACCAAAGGAAAAATGGAATGTCCCTTTGTTTAGCTGGAACAACATATGAAACCACTAGCATGGAGATGAGTAACAAAGCACCTCCTGCAAGAAAAGGTGGACTAAATGCAAGAACAGGAAAGCTGGTGTTTTAGGGAATGTGTCTTTTCTAGAAGCAGAATGCCGGGAAGGAGCTTAGAGAGAGACCCCTGAGCAACCTGCTGTAGTTGACGCTGCTTCGAGCAAGGGTGGTGGCCTAGATGGTCCCCAGGCATCCCTTCCAACCTTTCGAGGTTGTATGAGCTAACAGAAACTTATTTAACAGAGTTTAAACTTATTTAACTGAGTTAAATAATGGATAATTGGAGAGAGGATAGAAGAAGAACATACGAGGGAGAAAAGAGATGTTTTCATCGCAGGCTTAAAAATAGAGAAAGCAGGAGTGAGATGGAAGTGTTCAGGAAAACTCTTCCAGGTACTAGGGTCTGTAGAGAAGGCTCTCTGTGAAAAATAACAGCAATACAACTACTCACTTTCACAGTCTGTCTTTATTAAAGGCCTGAAAACGGAGTTAGACCAGATCGCTGTGGTTACGAATTCTCTCCATCTAAAGGAAATGAATGTCACAAATTGTATCAGTGCTAAAGCCGAGTTCCTGTCTCTCAGCCCTGCGCTACAGACTCCGCTGCTTTTGCCTCTAGGCAGCTCCTGGTTAGAGTAAGGTAGGGCCAGTGCATGCAGCATGTTGGGATTTTTCACCACCCTATTCCAGTAGCCAAAGAATTGCCGTAACTGGAACGATAAGTACGTGCAATGTTGTTGGCTCAGCTGGTTGGAATCAAATTAGAGGAAGAATGGACCATACTTCGTGCCCTCCATTTTTAAGAATCAAGGGAAGAGTTATTATAACTAAACCCTTGCCTGCAGGCTTTCTTTTCCTATTTGTTTGTGCAGTGTCAGGGAAATCCTTCATTATAAAGACGATTTGACTTTCAGGAAGCTATAAAACATTTTTGTTTGCCAAAAGTTTGGCTTTGTAGAAAACAAGCCATCAGGGCTCAGTAAATTTATTTCTTTTATAAGCTTTTATTGTGCTGAAAGGAAAAACCAGCAAACCCCCCATAAATAGAGCAAAAAGGGAAGTGATAGGAAGGTGGGAGATAAATCTGCAAGGATGTATAGCCACTGGCGACTGAACCTTCAGCTGCATCCTGCCCCTGTGTGTTTTTAAAGACTTGGATTATTTCATTGAAGCATTTTTAACCCTCCCTCTGCCACCTGCATGGGTCACCTCACGTTAACAAACTATTAAGCACACCTCGTGATGCTCGAGTGGTCTGAATGGAATTGTTAGTTGTATTGCTCTTTGGCAGGGAAGCCTGGCAGGAAGAAGAGGTCTCTTTGCACATGGTTTGGGAAGAGGCTTCTGACCAGGTTGCATGATGACATGCATGAGGCAAGGGTAGTTTTTGCATGGGTGTGTTCAACCACCTGGTTCAAAAATGGATTTGTTTTCTGTTCGATCGCAGAAAGCGTATTTGGGTTCTCTAGTTAAGAATCACGCTCAAGCAACACTCATTTTAGGTGACACAGCTTTTAGAGATGAAATTGTCTTGCTTAGGAAAAGAAACAATAGGATGTAACTTAAGCTGTATATTAAGCACTTGATCGATCTATAGAATCCTAGAGTCAACTAGGTTGGAAAAGACCTTTAAGGTCATCAAGTCCAACCATTATAGGAATCAATATCTACAGCTGTACAAGCAAGGAATAGTTGGTGAGCAATCCACAGACTGAAATGCCTTCAGAGGGAGCATTTGAACAATTCCGGAGAGGAAATGAATTAACAAATAACTGCTTTCCAAATGGACAGTTGGGCTCATTGCTCACATGTGCACATAGAGTGGAACTGGCCAAAAAGAGGGAGGAATATCAGCTGGGTGAGGTCATGATGCTGATGGGAGTCAGGTTCCAAGTGTTAGTGATCTTTACAAGTTAACTTTTCTCCATGTCCACCATCAGCAACGCCTTCAGGTTCCTGTCATCCAGGCTGGACAATCCCAGGACTTTCAGTGCTTTTAAGCCATCAGAAGATTGGGCCCCCCGAAATGCATCATCTCGCAATCAAAGACTTGGGGTCAGAGTGTGACCCGTGAATCCAGGCAGTCCCCAAACAAAACAGACAAGTGAACTCTGGGGGTTTGAACCAGCCTGGGAAAGAAAAGGCACTAAACCAAACCTGAACTCCTGATCCCACCCATGCTTTTTAGTTTTCACAGGTAAAAATGGGATAAGCAAGTTCCTTTTAAAAGCAGAACACCAACAACCCAAAAGGCTGTTGTTTGTAAGCGCTGAGGTTTTTACTCTGTTACAGAAAATGTTCACTACACCTCCAGTAGCGGGGTTTGGGTTTTGCCCTGCTGAAGAAACCTTCATTTTAAGGATAGAATAAACTTCCACTCTGAGGCTGTGATCTTCTGTTGGGACTTACTAAGAACACCGACTGTGCAGGGCTTCTCCGTGTTAGAAATTCCTGCTTGATTTCTTTGTCATTTTATCCAGTCATCCATCTGAGTGAGCAAAAAGTTTCATTGTACTTGCCACGGCCGGGCTGAGATGCTCTTTGGGGGTGTGTGCATGGAAAAAGATGTTCTCTCTACAGTTTCTCCAGTGTTGGATGCAACATGACCATGGAAAGCTTTTCACTGGCCCTCCAGAGAAAAGGCTGTCTTGACAATGAAAATACAAGTGACCGCGGTGTCGCAGCCGCAAGGTGTATGATGTTCTTTGATCCCAAAGCAGTCTCTTAACTTTTGTCACCGTAGAAGTATTCTTATTAATACAATTAAATATTCAAACACTAATAGTTTTGCATATATTGGTTTGTGTCCTGTTGCGGAGGCTGGGTAAAATCAGTGAGTGGGGTGGAAAAGATGCAGGAGTTCCAAGTACACTGAGTGGGGGTTGAATATCCTGCACATGGATCCTGTCCTCAGTTTTCACTCTCTTTGTCTGTGTATACCCCTTTTTGTATGGGGATATAAAATGAACTGTTTCATTGCTGTTATTATTCAGTTCTTTCTAGCCTGGAATAGGATTTCAACATGAATGCTATTTGGATGGAAGACCTTATGTATGCGAGCGACTGCATGTGTTGATTTGCAAGTCTGAACACAGAATACTTAAACTTTGGGTTATTATATAGGAATTATTCCTTTATCAGAGTTAATAATAAATTATATAGAAATGAATCAGCAAACATTCCTGTGATTTCCCTTTGGGTTTTTTTTTACAGTCCTTACATGGTGTTGCAGTTTCCGCTGTTCCGGAACTACCACTCTTCTATACTCCCATCGATTTAGTAGACATCAGTGTAGAAATGGCTGGACTGAAGTTTCCAAATCCTTTTGGCCTTGCCAGTGCAACCCCTACTACTAGTTCTTCAATGATTCGAAGAGCTTTTGAAGCTGGATGGGGCTTTGCTGTCACTAAAACGTTCTCCCTGGATAAGGTAAGGAACTATTTAAAGGTATATTTAGCACGTAACCATTTCTCTGTAGATTTGAAAAATCTGAATCTTTGGGGAATGGCACTATTAAATATACATTTATACTATTTATACTATTTATCTAGTATTTATACTGTTATATTTGTACTATTTATCTAGTATAATTTATACCATTTATCTAGTATAAAGATAGCAGGGCAGGGTATGGTACATTGTGTAAGTCAACTTGTCTGGGAGGTTCCAACAGTGCGCTGTAAAGGTGACACGATTTCTGGCTTTGTTTGCCATTAGTTTCTTCGTATTTATTCCCCAACCTTTTATTATTAGCCAACTAGTACAGATAATAGTCCTTTTTCTTTTAAATATTGCAGTGCAAATGTTTTCTGTGAGGGATCAGAATGCAGAGGGAATGAGTAACAGCTTTATCACACAGCTCATGAAAGGCGGCTTCTGTGCCAGGGACTGCCAAGATAAGCCATTGAAATCGAGTTGCAGTTGCAATGTGATAATGTGGGTGTAAGTTTGAGGCTGGGTGGGTTGTAGAAGAGAAAGATGGAGACAACGTAAAACAAGTCTATGAAGGGAAGAGTAGTTGTGCTGAAGGTTTGTATTACATAAACCTTCATTAACATGTAGTGGAAGAGGAGGGGGTTAGAATTAAGTCTTAAAGGCTGTGGCTCAGCGTGGCACCTAAAATAAAGCATTTTGTGTAGATTTAAAATGTGTAATTGCTTGTTTGAATTGAGAGTTACATTCAGGATGGGTTTCCTGTTGCTACATTCAAACTGACAATGTGAGACCGAGCCAGAAGTTTAGGCAATGAAACCAAAGAACAGTTTTGATAAGTGTGTTCTAGAGAAAAGAAACAGGGTTTGGGCTGGGAGGCAGATAGTTTGGCTTGTGGAGGGAGGATGAGGATCCAAGGTAAGTCCTTGGGACTGAGTAACAGTCCAAGTAATGGTAGTTTCTCAACCGGTGACAACAGTAGTGTGGGCTGAAGAGAGCTTTTGAGATGAATTTGGAAACAAGGGGCTTTTATGCCTGGTGCAGAGATGGGATGTAAAAGTGTCCTGGTGGATGAAGACCTTAGCAGAAGAGCAAAGGTGGGTTTGTTACTCTGCTACCCCTACGTGGGAAAGTACCATAAGTGAATGAACTATAGAGGGTGGCCTGTAATATGGGGAAGATCTAAGAACAAAGCAGTGCATGACTACAGCATACTGTAAACTATGTCAGACCGGCTTCTGCTGTCGCACCTGAAGTAGCCCTGAGGAAGTAAACGTTCCTCTGAATAGCAAAGAGATTCCAATCTTACTTCACAGGGTTTCTTATTGAAACACTTTTCCGGGACATAAATGTCACGGAACTATGCTTAGAGCTGACTTATGTGTATAACACAGCATCAGCTGTGATTATTCAGTGCCCAGGCTAAAGGCAACTCATAGCAAGCGCTGAGATTTATTTATTTATCAGGTTTATTGCTGGTATACTCACAGTCCTGCCAGACTGCACGTTGGTTACTGTGTATCTCAAGAGCGAAACAGGCACTGGCTGAGTTCCAACCTGGGTGGGAGTCCAGGAGGAAAGACATGCATGTTGTAGGAAGTGGTGCTGGTGCTCTAGTAAGCAGCAGACTCTGAGTCACTTCTCAGATGGCGACTGCATGGTGTTTCACTGAATGCCATGCTCTGGAGGTGTGACTCGGATGGAGATCTTTCAAGGGAGAGGATTGCTAAAAGCAAGTAGCTCAAGTGGGTATAAAATACTTTTATATATATATATATATTTGTTGCAACAAGATGCAAAATATTACAGATAGTATTTATTTTAAGGAGACAAAGTTCAGACAAGTGCTTTGGGCGAATTCTAGCCCAGGGATCCCTGCCCATGGCAGGGGGTTGGAACTGGATGATCTTAAGGTCCTTTCCAACCTGACCCATTGTGTGATTCTATGATTTCTAGCTAAGCTTCCTTCTAAAGTTCAGTCAGAGGCAGTACTCTCTGATGCCTAAACTCGTGAATCACATTGCTACGTGCAGTAGGACTGTGTCCACCCAGATGCTACCTACTTTTTCTACTACTGTATTGTTCCCCGTAGTGGACTTCCCCCCCGGTGTTAAGCCTTAGTATTTGAGATGCTTGCCTGGGAGGTGCTGCAGACATCAATTTGCTTTTATTTAGAGTAGCAGCATGGTAATTAATGCTGCAAAAATAAGTATTTCAAATGGGATGAAACAGTCAACGAGGTGCAGCAGTTCTTATGCTCCTGATTATTTGGACATAAATCTTGTGCAGTGT